GAGCAAAACTTAAATATGTAAACGCCATCAATTCGCACCTTAAGCCATGTCAATTGGGCTTTCCAATGCGCAGAGTTAAAAAAGGCTTACATGGCAAACTTATCGCAACCTTTTGGCCCACAAATCCCACCACGTTCCACTCGCCGGCACTTAACTGACCAACTAAACTTGGCGAAACAGCGAGCGACCCGCAGCCAAAAGCCAATGAATAGCCCAGCGGGCAAATGCAAAAATGGAATGCAAAAAACTCAAAGATGCACAGCAAACGAAGTTCGAGGTCATTGCATTACACACACACACACACACACACTCGCACACACACACACACACACACAGTCAGACAGACACAAACTGAAACTCACACACACAACTACAAATAAATAAAACAACAAATGATTTGAGCCCCTCGCAACACTCTCGCGCCTCATATCTGCGAAAAGGGGCAGCTGAAAAAGTTCAAGTCAAAATTGCAAATAAAGTAAATGGAGATGACTAAAAAAGTGAAATCCACAAAAAACGACCACGACACTAACAGAAACAACAACAGCAACAGCAGCAACAACAACAGTAACAGCAGCAACAACAACAGTAACAACGGCCAACTGCAGTTTGTGGAGCTTTTGTTGTTGTTGCTGATGCAGTGTTTTTACTGCTGCTGCTATTGCCGCTGCCCGTGGGGGAGTTAGCGGCGCAGCGGCTGCCATTTGGCACAAAAGAGAGAAAAAATCGTGCACAAAAAAAAAAACTATGTATTCGGCGAATGACACACAAAACAAGTAAGAAGCTTAAGGGTGCAGTGCTCGAAGAGGATCTACCCTGTAGCAAAAGAAACTATATATTTAATTCGGATCATAATCAATCAAGAGTTAAGCTCGGCCTAACATTTATGTACATACAACTATATTTTTTATTTAATTTGTAAATATTTAAAAGCCTATCAAGTCAGAAAGAAAATTTGTGAAAGCATTTCAATTCAGTATGCCCTGTTTGCACATCTAGCTAGTTACAGGGTATACAAAGGCACAGCAGCAGCAGCAGCAAAGCAAGAAGATTAATGATACCGTTCAAGGATACTTCGCTCTATGCTTGTGCTTTGCATTGCCTGCAAACGAGCAGCAACTAAAAAAAAAAATGCTTTCATTAAGTATTCGTGAATTGAGGGGCAAGGAAAATTTAATAAACTGAGGGCAAGGAATTCTTATTAAATTTAGGGCACTTAAAAGTAACAAAAAAAAGTTTAATTTTAGATAATTAAAATAGCGAACAAAAGATAAAATTAGATAAAAGCAATTCATGAGACGATTAAGAACTTTTTCTTTATGTTGATAAATCCTTTAAAATATGTTTGAATTTTAGTTCAAGCTGAATTTTTTATTGATCAAAAAATTGTATTAAAGATAAATATATTTGACAAGCATCCTTATTTTTCAATATATTTAGTATATCAGTCTGGTAGTTTCATTAAATCGCTAAAAAAAAAAGCAAATACTAAAACAAATCGTTTTATGTTGGTATAAAAAGTTTTGCTTGAGTTTTCCACCTACTTTTCTACCCTCTAAATTGAGCCGAAGCTAGCCACGAAATTGGAATGTGGAACAACTTATATTAAAGCTGTAACAACTCCCTACTATCTTTATTGCATGCATCTACTATCTGCAATTGCCCCGCCTAGTCTCGGCTAGAGCACTGCCCCCACACCACACACACACACACGCACACCACACACACACACACGCACACCACACACACGCACACCACACACTCACGCCTAGATTTTAATGACTAAGCGTCGCCTTTACAGCTACTGCTTAACGACCAGAGGCAGTCTGTTGCCTCCGCAGCACCCTCCCCCCCCCCCCTTTCAGACACCAACGAATTGTTTTTAACGAGCCCAGACGTTAGGCCTACCAGCGCCCCCGCACACCCCCTAACTCGGCCAGAGGTTCCACAGGAAAAATGCTCAAAATGTTGTCTGCGTAGGCGTAAACGCTTCCACCGACTAGCCCCACACTGTGCCCCCCCTCTTCTAGTCCATCCCTGCCCCGCCGACTCGGTAACTGGTCAGTCAGCACTTGGAAGCTCCAACTGGAAAACCAACTGCCAACTGACTGACTCAGTTAATGACTGAGCGGCAAAGCGTGCCCCGAAACGGCGGCAGTTACTCCTGGTATTGCCTTAGCTCCACCTCTAGCCTCCCAATCACCCCACCGCACCGCCCGCGCTGCCTTGCCAAGCGGCTTAATGACGCATGCTTGCGAATTTTGCATTCAGTTCGTGTTTAGCTTTGTGGTTTTGCCTTTTGCCTTGTTCCCTGACTGTTTTTTTTTTTTCAACTCCACACAAAGAGCTGGCTGCAGCACAAAAGCAGAACCAAAACGCGAACTGACTTCGTATACCCATTAATCGGAAGAGCGAGCGGGTAGATGTAACAGGACCTGTCAATTCAATATATACATTTTTGTGTGGCATAACATAGATTTGCGTTTTTTTGTTTTAAAAAATGCTTGCAGTATGATACTTCATGTTTTTTAACCCAAGTTTAAGCAATACTTTAAGAGATTAACGTAAAATATTTGGAAGTCAGCTAACTATTTTTCAAATTTGAAAGTTTTCTCCAAATAAACAGAGCAGTTTTTAAAGAAATTTGGAAAAGTTCTATTCCTAAGCGAAAAGGTTTAACAATAATTCAATAGTAATTCAAGTTAAACAATAACCAAGACCGCCGTTAAACACAAGAGTGTAAAGTGCGTTTTGCAGGGTATTTATAGCGTCGTGCACTGTGAACAACTCGCTCGCTTTGTGTGTGAAATTCATTTTTTTTTTTTATGAGTTTGCGTTCGTATTGTTTTCATTTTGATGAATGCGACGCTTCGAGTTGGCATAAAAAAAAGCGCAAGTGATTTTCAAGACTCGCTGCAAGGGAAAGGGTACACGGCGGCGGTGTGCGTCTATGGGCAACTACTGCTTGATAATTGTGAGCTGCAAGTCGTTCACATTGTTGCATGCTAAGTAGCTTCGAGAGTCGCGCACAACCCACACACATACACACACACACACTCAAAAGCACACCCCCCACACACACACACACACACATACGTATGTTTCTCAGACAGAGACGTCGTTTTATTGCTTGGCAGGGAGCCCGGCATAACCGACAAGGTCTCTAATATGTGGATATGGGTCGTCATCGTCGACAAAGTCAACGAGTTGGCGTCGTCATCGTCATTTGCATCTCGTTTCGTGTGTGTGTGTGTTGTGTGTACTTTTCTTATTTCTTCGCATTTCTGTTTTGTTGCGCACATTTCTGTTTGGTATTTTCAACCACATCCTGCCCTTTCCTGCCCTGCCCTGCCCCAATGTCAAAACGCAGCATTCGCATCTTTGTGCCACGGTCAAGGGCAAGTGGCGTCGCTTAGAGAGGGACGTGCCAGTAGCTCAGTTGAGAACAGCGAGTAGTCGGGAGTTCATGAGTTGTGAGTGAGAAGATTCGCATATGCAACTGCATGTTACCCATAAACCATAAATAGAATATACGGAAGATATTCCTCAGCAGCATCGGTCGAGTGGAACTAGCTATTTCTCGATGCATGGAGGTCTCAATATTTAAGCAGAGCTTTTTTAAATAACACCTAGATTGTTGTTAGATTTCATATTTGGAAGTCATCCAAATATTCTGCAAATTTTATTATGATTCAAAACTTATTCTATCCCTGAAAGTACATTCGCCAGTTACCATAAGGGCAAGCTTGGGCACTCAAATATGCGCCGAGTTTTTAATATGGAATAGTTAAGTTAGGTAAATAGGCTCTCCAGAATTGGGTCCAATCTTAAAGCAAAAGTATGTGTGAAGAGCACTCTCAGTCCACTCTGTTCACTCTCGTTAAAATTGGGTCCAAATCTAAAGGAGTCAGATATTAGGCTTCTCTTTGCCGCTTGATGCTCCCTGGGAGGTCTGAACTACCTCCCTGCCAGCTGGGAGGATCAACCTATCTTCAAAGAACTCCGAATTGCAGTTGGAAGTAGGGATATCGTGATACAATGTCTGCTCTGACCTATTACGCCAGCTTTGGTCGTCCTCAAGTAGCAGGGCCAACCTCTTTCGCCAAAGCCTTGCCTTCTCCTTGCGGAACGGCAACCGCTGTGCGACGCGTTCTATTCCTTCTTTGCTGTACACATCTCGGTTCGCCTTACAATTTAAAAATGGCTCAGTCACTGCCCGATTCAGGTTCTGGAAATGTTCCACGATCCGTTGCATACGCATCTCGATCTCGATAACACGCTGAAGGGTTTGATTCATGTTTTCAGATACGTCAATATAAATCATGCTTGGGACTCGTAATTCCAGCGATTAGAAATTAGAAAATTGTTAAATTTTACGAATGTTTGCCAAAATTTGTGCTAACAATATTGTTTTTTCCTTCTGTTAACTAACGTTACATCGACTTGTGTTTGTGAAATGAATTATGTGATGACACGTAGCTCTAAGTCGCTTTGTGGTTGACTAAAATGTGTGGGTTTACTATGCCCTCAGAGCAATAGAGATTTATACAAAGATTTAAATGATGAACGTACTTTGAAGAACGATTTCCATGTATACATGTATGTGTGAAATGTGTGTTACATGTTTTAAATCTCACCCTTCTTTGCGATTCTCATGAATTCAATTGAATTATAAGTATTTCGTTATCAAGTTTAATTTACAATCTAAAAAATGTTACCTTACTAACTCTCTCTCTCTCTCCCTCTCTCTCTCTTTTTCTCTCTCTCTCTCTCTCTTTCTCTTTCTCTTTCTCTCTCTCTGTCTCTCTGTCTCTCTCCCTCTCTCTCTCTCCCTTTTTCTATGGCCTTTGCCCCTATGCACTCTCTTTTTTCCGCGCTCTCTCTCTCTCTCTCTCTCTCTCTCTCTCTCTCTCTCTCTCTCTCTCTCTCTCTCTCCATCTTTCACTCTTTCCATCTCTCTTTTTCTCAATTTATCCTTTTATTGCTCCATCTTTTGCCAGCTCCTCGTTTTATGAACTTTCTGTTTCATTTCTTTTTCAGTAATTTGGTTATATGAATTACTGAAAGATGTCAATAAACTAATTGCACGTGGGAATCCGAGTTCAGGGGTAAGTGCCCATTTCTTTAACATATATTTTATGCAAAAGCTACTGCAAAGGAGGGTCACGGGGTATGAAGAACCACAATAGCATAGCAAGTCAGAAATAATTTACTTTTATGCGAAATGTCTGCTTGAATGGTTAAATGTCCACTCTGAAAAAATTAGACAATCAATCTTGATCTATTCTGCACCAATTTGACCCATAATCAGCTCTCAGCTAATTAAGAAACGGAAATGCCACAAAGATGTTATTGATTATGTTGAGAAATGACAGGACAAGCTTTCAGCTTTTGGTGACATCGACATTTGGTAATTAAAATTAATTTTCGCAAAAAAAAAAAACCTAAGTGAGGCCCCAACGTACTATCCGAGCGATCCGACTGCATTCAAGTCGGTCAGGCCGGCAAGCCGTGAAATCTAGTTTTCCCAGTTCGGCATGATAAATGGCGTCTAGTTAGCGTAGCGCCAAAAGAGAAACAAGTTCACTGGCTGCTGTTTCTTTCTAACCCCGACTCCCCCCCCCCCCCCCCCCTGCTATTCAACTCTCTGCCCTGCATATAGCGCATAGAGTTGCATAGCCTATCCGATATTAGAGAGAACTTAAAGATCTTAAATCTGAAATACAATTCTGAGTTTTGCGACACAAACATCTTGGCATAGCATCAGCATATTTTGAAAATCACAATCACAATCAATAGTAGAGGGTATCTGCTAGCTGAACAACTTTAATTGGTTGAGCTGGCTACCTGGTTTGAGTATGTGTTGTATTTCAATTAGAGCAAAAGTCGTCCTCAACTGCAATTAGCAACAAAGTATCTGGCAATGTATGTTTTCGCTATTATCATTTAAATTTATGTTATGGTACTACATATATTTGTTACGGCCCACTCTCTCGCTCCAGCTCCTCGCTGCCCGCTCCCCGCTCTACAGAGTGCCGAGCCGCTGGCATACCTTACGATTATGGCCAGCGTTGGGTAATTTGTTAGGAGCCGGGCGATGCAGTCAGCCAGATAAAATGCAACCTGGTCTGCGGATGGCTGCGGCACGGCGAGCATTCAATGAAAATTAACTAGGGACAAATTGTTTGAGCCTGCTCGTGGGCTCGGACCACAAGATCGGTAGCCATTGGCTGGATGGCATTGGACGCTTAACGGCTGCTGCCAGCTGAGCCTTATAGCTATCATTGGGTCTTGTTTGTTGGCCAAATTATAGCTCTACACCGGGCTTATTTATTACGGCTATGGCCAATAGTTGTGCTTTAGAGGCACAAGTATTATCATTCCTGCGCATATGTTTAGAGGAAACGCTTCTAATCACAGTAGTAACTCGTATCCATATGCTTTTGGCATTGAGTAATAAGAATACGTAGCCGAAGATTCGCTTCAAAGCTCTTTCGCGGAATACTTGTAATTTAAATACTCAACATATGTTGGCCTCATACAACATCCTTCTTCCTACCGCATTCACTCTCTCGTCAGATTAATTGTGTGCTTCTAGTTATGAATAAGAGCCGTAGATTTCCTCTAGTAAGTAATTATTTAAAGGAACATTCCTATTTGACTACTCGAAAATTGTTTTGACTTATAGCAGAACTTTCTCTATTTGAGTTTCTAGTTATTAATTTAGAGCCGACTCTTTCTGAAAAAACTTGACTAATTTAACTACTCAATGTATGTTGGGCATATAGGAGATCTTCCTTTGTCTCGATTAATAAACCTTCTAGTTTTTTTTACTCCTTTGTCATAAAGCTTTGCATACCTGGCAGGAATCCTTAAGTTTTCAGCTCCGTAAAGCTTATCTGAATTAAAGGTTTCTCTCTTCTTTATACAAGCCTGTTGCAAGTTGCAAGTTGCATGGGCACTTTGTGTCCGCCTGTTGCCATCTTTTTTGCTGTCCTCATCATCCCTGCTGTCGCTGGCTCGGATCCTGGCTCTTGCTCTTTTAATAAATGAAAATGTTTTTAATTAATATGCTTCAATATGTCGAGTGCGGCACTTTACTTTATGCAGCACAGTCAAGCCTACCCCCACACAGATCCCAACCCCTGGCTCTGCACACCCCCTCCTTTGCCCAGCACATTTCGCTTTATTATTCAGAGCAAGCGCCGTGCTTGTGTGAGGGGCGCCTCCGTTTTTATTGTTTCATATTTATTCGTACAAGCCCGTAGGCTAAATTTCAATATTTTACTTACATGCAAACATACATACTCTCACACACATGTGTGCTTGTGTGTTAATACTTACCAATGTACAGTAAGAATCCTTCGCTCAAGCATGCAACAAAATAAATATCCGACTCCCTCCCCTCTTCCATACGCTGCAGCTCTCGCTCTTTGTTAAGCTCAGTTATTTTGTAGCTTTTGTTGATGTCGCTCAGTGGCCAGCGGCAACGTTTTGTTGTTTTTGTTTTTATTTTCAATTATTCGATGCGTAGACTGCCAGCTAAAAGCGAAGCAGCGTATTTGTATGTGGTGTCTATTTATAGACATTGCAGTGCATTTGATTTGCTTGCCTTGTGGGTGAGGTTCGTTTATTTGTTGCGTAGATTGTGAGTAAGAAGCAGAATTGTCGTTTTTTTTTATTGGTTTGAGTTTTGTTGAGCATTTTTGCCGCCTAAACTAACCATCCCATATTGTCTAGTGGTTAGGATACCCGGCTCTCACCCGGGAGGCCCGGGTTCAATTCCCGGTATGGGAAGTGATCTTCACTCTTACTTTTTTACAATTTTATAATTATTTTTTTTTTTATCAAATATGTTTCCGATTTCTGTGTTCGGGTAATTAGAGTCATTTTCATATAGTTTCTTTCAATTAAATTAGTTTAAGATCTGCTATAAGCTAATTAACAGAACTTAATACTTGTTAACGTCTGCATTGCTTTAAAGTATAACTTATATGGGATTAAAACTAATTTGAGTCTAAAGATTAAATTGAAAAGCAGCTTAAAATAAAACCCAACATAAAGAAATGCCTCATGAATGCATCAATGCTCATTTGCTTTAACATACACACACATACGTATATATATACGAATGTTTATATGTGGAAAAGTCCAGGCAACTTTTAAGCTAGCTAATAAATGGCTTACCCTGTTCCACGACGAGACGCCTTTGACGGGCATTGTCCACTTCATTTTGAAGGAGTAATTTGGAGTAATTTGGTCTGGGTTGCAAATTGCAATCATATATCAATATTAATATGCTTTCGGCATTTGTGATTTAGACAATCTGAAGTTACTTTGCGTTTTCAAATGCTTTTCGAGTTTCTATTCATTTTGACCACAGCACCCTTTTTATGCCGAACATATGCACATTGCAATCTCTCATTTCCGGAGTTTTATTTGGTTTTGCTCAACCCTGCGTTGGATTTGTGCGAAACAAACCGCAAACTTCATTTACAAAATGGCCATTCATTTGAGGGCCCCAGCCCAAATCATTCAGAATATATACATATATATATATATATGTAAAGCTTTGCCAGGCAATTTTATTTAAAAATGCAAAAGCCTTTGTGCATGCGTTGTTATTGTTGTTGCAATTGACTCCTGACTACAACATGCATTAAAATTGGCAATCGCCTCTGTGCGGTTGAATTGCTGACAACATGCTGCATGGCCAGTGCCACACCTGACGCACCACCCGCACCACCCACACCATCCGCACCACCAGCACCAACCGCATCAACTGCTGCTGACCAGCAGCCTGCTCTCAACTTCATTAGGTGTAGCCTGCCGTTGGAGGACATGAAAAGGTATATCAAAAGGCAGCTGCCTGCTTTTACGGGGATACAGGGATACAGGATGCTATCGTAAGCAGCAGGCACATACACACACACACACACACAAGCTGCCACACATGCATACTTAAAAGGAACTACACTTGCCCAAAATTCATATATTCAGATAGTTTGTCCAATTGTCAATGACACCAGCTGAACAATGTTAGCAAAAGTTTATAATTAAACTGTAAGATAGTGCGTATTTGAAGAGTCTAGCCGAATTTTTTCGAGTGTATTGCCGTTTGGCAACCCCCTATTGTGGGTTGCACTCGGGTTTTTGGCTGCGCCTTTAGTCTGTTGCATTTTTTGGCAATGTGAGCTGAGGGTGGGGCAGCGTGTGTGTGTGTGTGTGTGTGTGGCATTAGTGGGAGGCGCTGCATCCTTGCATTCAGCTCTGCTGACGGCTTGCTGCTTACTCGCTGCCTCTTGATTGTCCCCCTGTGACTGTTCGGGCGCATTTGCATTTTTTATATCCACAGCTTGTATGTTCACCAGCTCTCTCTTTCTCTCTCTCTCTATCTCTGTCGCTCTTTTGCCCTGCTGCAGTTTGTGCAGCTATTGTGCTTGCTGTTTCTGTCTCGCTCGCGCGCTGGTGCATCCACAAAAATCGATAAACACAAAAATTTGCGAAAAATGCACTTCATGTTGCCATTGTTGGATATCCGTTTTTACCAGCGCATATACTATATGTACGTGTATGTAATACTATAAAGTATATAAATCATGTTTGCATATGTGTATATAAGGATCAGACCTTATCGCATACCGTGCAGTATGCGGCATCAGCAGCCGAGGAGTACCCAAACCATCTGTAGGCTTGCACTCCATATTGAAAGAGACTGCACTTTACGTTTTAAGGTAATTTAATTCAATCAGACCTTGTTCGGTTGTTTGGCAATATTTCGTCTGATAGACGATGGCGCAGATATGTATGTGGTCGGGGTGCTTATATGTATGCACTCATGAGTTACAAGAAGTATATTTGCGGACGTGGCAACAACCGTCCCATATTGTCTAGTGGTTAGGATACCCGGCTCTCACCCGGGAGGCCCGGGTTCAATTCCCGGTATGGGAAGTACTCGAAATTCGTGCTTTTTTGATTTTATTGAATTTTTATAAAAAAGTGTTGTGCAAAGGTTTAAAAGTAGTTCTTGTGAAAATTAACTTTTCCTGATATGATATGATCCTTTGCAGTCTTTTCATCCAAATACGTGCCTTTCTCAGTTATGGAT